GTCTTTTTTTTATATATATATATATATATATATATATATATATATTTCAAAAACTTACAACATAATATAATTATATAATATAATATATACATATAAGTTATATGGAGGTATATGCTTTTTTAAAAAATATATGCTTCAAAAAATAATGTATATTGATTTTAGTTTTTCTTTACAACATAAAAATATAAAGAATAATGAGAGTAGTACTTAGCTTTTAATATGATAAGTAGTATGATGTTTTTCAACCCACGATCGAGAATCCTAGTACTGTTTCGGAAGGAATAATGATTAGCTATTACAATATTTAGCCACATGTTTTAAAAGATAACCAGTTGCAATTGTAATGGACACAGACTAAACCCTAAACCTATAAAGTTACTTTCTTAATTTTAATCTGAGCTTCGAGATAGCCCTTACAAGTCAAATCGATACCTCCACTAGTAGAACCTCCACTGTTAAAAAGAAAACATAATTGGAATTAAAAGGCGATGTCAATAATAAAAACTCTGGACTGGTAAAACTCCATATTGCAATTAAAATAAAGAAGCTACATTATCATCACCATGAACCACCAGACTTTTATTTTTATTTTTTTAAATCTTTTTACTCATTTATAACCAAACACGTGAAATTGAATTTGCATTGGGTTAAACGTATCGGGACTTAAATAAGAAAAATTATTAGATAGCTTAACACTACTAAATGTATGAGGTTCAAGTGGCAAAAACTGATTCCAGATGAGAAGATCATCGTTGATCCCTTGCCCATACCTGCAAAGAACCTCCCAATTCGTCTTTATCCTCACGAACCCTGAAAAGATACATTTTATTTGAACCAACACAATTAATTGTACTGTGCTATTTAATGGACTTATAAATAAAATAATTACATAAGTTTTTACCAAATGTCTTTGAAAAACCAAGAATCCATTTAGAAAAACTTATAAACAACCTATTTATACTTATTTTATTTCGTAAGTATTTATAAGAGTATTTGAATAAATTTATATAAAATATTTTATTGTAACCTGTAAGATGTTTTGAGCTTATGATTAATTTGGACAAGCAATTTATTTAAGATTTCATATAATAAGCTTTTATACAATAAATACTTATGATACAAGCGCTTAAAATTTAATAGGTTGTTGCATTTGAATATATATATATATATATATATATATATATATAAAAGTACTTATATAATCTTGAAGTGTTCTGATGTATCATTATTTAAGTATTTAATTATACAATATTATCTCATTTTAAAATTAAAAAATTACAATTTAAATTATGATTGAAGGTAAAATAAAAATATAAAAAGTAACTAAATAATTTTTAAAAATGATGTTATACATCACAATAATAATAAAAATGAAAAAAAAATACTAGTTACCATTCACCTAATTTTAGTTTATAAAAAAAAATACAATGTTACAAGAAACAAACAACGTACGTGAATGTATAAAAGAGACACAAATCTAATTTAGTATAACTCTATCAAAATAAATTCAACATTAGACATGCAAAGATGAATTAGTACGGTCACATCAACACAATACATACGACATTACAAGAAAAAATAATGATAAATATTAAAAGAACTACAAAATTGCAAGTATAAAGATTAATTAAAAAAAATATAAGTATAAAAATTAAAATGGTTTATTTTAAACTAAAAATTAAAAGGTAAAATAAATAAAAATATAAAAATAAAAATATATTTTAATTTTAAAATAAAACAATTTATTAAATATTAAACACTTACATCATAATTAAAAATTTATTAACATCCTTATTAAATAAGATATTAAGTAAATTGTTAAATAATTTAAGTAAATTATTTATGTGATTACCTAATTCATAAATAAATGTAACTTGCAGAA